GCTTCCACGGACCTCCTTGCCTCGTGCATTCCTTGAGAAAGTTTCCCAACGCACTGTCTCGCTGAGTCATTCACTCACTCATCACTCCCTCCCTCCCTGGCTTCCTCACGCTTAGTTTAGGTAGTCTTCTTTGTCACTTTGAACTTTGGCGTGGGGCGGGCCACAGGGTGAAATCGAAGAAAGCCAGATGGAGAAACAAGTTAGTGTTTTGTGTGGGTGTGTTTCATAGGTGTTGATTCTTCGGAAAACTCAGGCACCCATAATTCCTACCTCATCATGCCATCTGGCTTGATTTTTTTTGCATATTTTGCTAAAAATCAAACCTCAACTCAAGATCATACCGACGCATATCATGCTGAGCCAACCAAGGCAACATGGACAAGCATGACAGGTCAAGCTGATGCTTGAGTCAGGGTTCAAAATCAACCAGTGGCATTACGGAAAAAGTGGCAAGCAGAGTTGTGTAAATAGGTTCATAGCTGGCAAAGTTGGGGGAGCTTCCGTTCAATTTGGTACTACATACTATGACAGATCGGGCTTAGTTGCGAGAGTGATGACGGATATGGGTGAGTAGATAACGAAATCCACGATATAAGTGGTTGACATGATGCCAGATGAGACTGTCCCCATAGATATATATATATACACATACGCATACACCTTTATCATCTTTGTCAACAACCTAAGATGATGTCGGTGCGGGTAGGTTGCAACAATTGGAATGCTTCAGATGCGCGGAGAATAGGTAAGATGATCTGAGTTAGGGTAAAACTATGCTTCTCGCGGCCGGTTTGGAGCACAGCAACCTCTTGCTCCTATTGAAGAAGAATTGGTGCACTGCCCAGGTGATTACGATAGGCAAACATGGGCTGAGACAACTTCGAGCGACCTACGTAGATGAAGTGGGGGAGCCAGCACTGAGACCAAACCAGAGATAGCTTGGGATGACCTACTCCACGGGGGAATGGTTCATTTTTTTGCTGGCTGAAGATGGCGCTGCTTGCTACTGAGGATCACGTCACAACTTAACACTGCTTAGCAACACATTGCCATGTTGTAGCAACAACGGCTGACTTATGAAAGGATTCCCATGCCGCGCTGCAAGTATCAGGAAATGCACTTAAACTACAGTTCGATTTTGTTTTCACTCGCCCTACCCTCGTTCATATTTGCAGCGCTCCATGAGCTTCTGCATGATTGAAGTCCAAAGTGGGAAAAGAGCTTCAGTCTCAACTCCAGGTGTGGCTTCGTTCACAGACTTCTGGGGTCTTGAAAGCACGCTGGGCGAGGCATGCATGGGGCCAGTTGTTGGGCCTTATCGCTTGCTCGCTATTGCCGTACGATCCTGAGGAGAACCCCACCCTGCAATAGACAGTTGTACAGTTTGCTAAACTCAGGCCAGGGACATCGGCGCTTCTCCTGAGGTTGTGGCCGCAGGATTGTGATGGGGCAAAAGGATCTGGATCCTGTGACAACCACCCTTCGCTCCCAGTTTTTGAGAAGCAATAGGATATTAGAGTTGTAAACGCTTGCACGGCCCAACGCGGCGTGTAGCGTGCGCGTCGCAGACGCCCCGGTCTTAGGGGCATGTCCCGGAGCTACTTGGTCTGCCTGTTCCACGGCCGGATGTTGAGGCGAATGTCAGGTCGAGAGTTCACACCCTCCCCCATCACAAGTTACATGCGGGACTTCGAGCGCCTGCAGCTGAACTCCCAGGTCTTCGAGGTGCAGTGGTGGCGTACCGGCCCACCATTGAGTGCTGCTGCTGCTGCTTTTCGTGCGAAGCGCCTCAGCAGCTTGTTAATTCACAGCCCGCAAATTTCGTCATGCTGCGAAGTTCCTGTTGTCGGGAGAACACTGACCCTTGGAAGTGCTGGAGCCCCTTTGATCCCGATTTGGGCCCAATGTCCGCTCGTATGTGCGAAGCTGGTAATTCTGCGGAGTTTGTTCCCCGTCGAGTCGGTCCGGGCGACAAAGAGATCGACCCGAACAACCCCAACAGTGAACCACAAAAAACGAAAGGCAACGTGCCGAGAGGGTATTCGCCGTTGTCCTCACATCCGAGGCTGAGCTTGGGTTTCCAGAAAGCGTCCTTGTGTTCCCGAGGTGCCAGTTCCATGGAAACACGTCGCTCTTATCCGGAGGGCAGTTCGCTCCTCGACCTCCCTGGACCTGACAATCGTGGAGCCGTGACCCCGGACTCATTTCTGATTGCCTTCAACGCTGGTTGCTTTATGGTGGGACCTGTGGCAGGAACTCTTCGGCAGAACGAGCCAACCACTTCATCCGTCTGCAGATGTGTGATGAGCCTTGGCACCGCAAGGAGTCAAGCGGAAGTTGTGCTGGGTAGAGAGGATGCAGCGGAGCCTTTTCGCACTTGCAGATGCAGGAGGCTGCTCGGGTCGCCCAGCTTCAGTCTCAGGATGGCTTCCGGAAGACCAAAGAGCGCACAGCGGTCAGCGACTACTCCTTCTGTGGCGATGCAGCGAAGCATGCCACCGTCTACGTGCCGCCTGCAGCGGTGCGTTCGTTGGTGGATCTGCACTTCGACGCTGCGATGGAAGCAGTGGTCTCTCAGCCGCTCCAGTGGTCGTTGTGCTCATGCCAGCGGGCACCTCGGGTTCGACTCATCAGATGTTGCGGCTGATGTCTGAATCTTGCCCTGAGGCCTGATGCCCTTTGCACTGGGGCGCCTCTCCGATTCTACAAGCACCTGGGCGTCCCTGTTGCCAGGGCCTGAAGTGTACGCTTTGGGCTGCTGACTTGACGAAACTGCAAACCCAGGTGGGCAAGAGCCCGTGGTGCTTCTTGTGGTCTCTGCGCAGGCTCGCGGGGCGCACGCAGTGCAGCTTTGCAATTGATCCTCGTGTGTTTTCCTCCAAAGCCTCAAGTTCTGCAAGTAGTTTAAATGCAGGCAGCTTCGCTCCTAATTAATTACACAATGGGTCTGCGGCCTAGTTCCCTATGGACTCATTTGAGATTGCAAATGGGCTTGGAAGTCGAAATGGGCCCCAGCGGACTGGGTCTTGATGGTCCGAATTCTTAGTGACTTGGTGCTTTGGCAGATTGCTGAAGCAATTCACTACTCAAAGTCCGGAGCTGCTTGTGGGAAAGAAATCCACCATAAATTCCTTGAAGTCAATGTGGCGCAGTGTGGAGATATATGGTGCGTAGACCGACGCGCAGTCAATGGCCCGCAAACAGTCGCCACCTCAACATACCCAACTAGTCACAATCTCGTCGCGACTAGCACCTACACGGGGTGAACACAAATGAGTCTCAGCTGAGCCGGGCCCAGGGATACTGCGGTATCATGCACGACTCTCTGCATTGTCCATATCAGATCTGAAACTCGAACCCAGAACTGTAAAACGAGACTGCCGTTAAATCATTAAGGAGAACTGAATAGGCTGCCATGATACGCTGCTGGATGGATTCGAGTGCTCCATGTGGCGCGGTGCTGGGATTTACAATGATTTACACATGTGTGATCTCGACTGCAGGCAAGGGTTTGAGGCACTGGACGAGGTGATGGCCTCAGCCGATGTTGCACTTGGCTTCAAACAGGGTTGCCTTCATGGTCCTGCCTCTTGATTGACAGAACATATCTTCCGGAGGTTATTGCCCTACTTTGCCCGGGGCATATGGTGGATGTCTTGGTGGATGTCTGGTTTGTTACGGTTTGTGCAGAAAGTTTTGTTTGTTCGTCAATCAATGCCACGTTTCTGGCGCAGGTTGTTGTTGTTGTTGTTGTTGTTCTGTGTCGCGGTGGTTGTCTTATGGCATCGGCTTTGTCGCCGTGGTCGCTATCATTCAATTTTTGATGCATTGTACATCAGAAAGAACTGTCGTGTGCAAGGACAGGCTATCGACATGTCCCTGTCCCTATCTCTATGGTGCTAGAATTAACAGTGATGATAGTGTGGAGATTGCAAACAACATTCAATGTGGTTGACCATCCCACCCTCACAACTCACTCAGAATCCTTATAACCTCGTGTGGTCACCGTTTCGCCGTTCTAGGCGACTGCATCTATCTGCACGGGTAAACACTCTCTGTGTATGTGCACATAAGTACATACATACATACATACAGACATACATACATACATACAGACATACATACATACACACATGCATACATACAAATATACAAACAAACATGCATATGCACAAGCGTACATACATACATACTTACATACATACATGCCTGTATACGTACATACATACATACATGCATACATACACCCATGCATGTAGATAGACAGAGAGAGAGAGAGTGCGAGAGTCAGGCTGGCTCAGGGTTCAAGGTTCGTGGCTTTAAGACTCAGTTTGTTGGCTTGAAGGCTCAGTGTTTGTTGTTGGGATGAGGCTTCAGGCTTACAGTGTAGGATTTAGCCTTCCGGCTTGCGGGGCTTGCGGGTACAGGATTCGAAACTTCTGTTGCTTTAGAGTCAAAGTGTGATGTATCAGACAAATGCCAACTCGGCAACTTCAATCACACACTCTAATCCTTGGGCCACCGGAAACCACCGCAAATCATCAACTCCTAAACTCACTAGCAGTTGCACCCCAACATATGGAGCTTGATGTTCAGCCCGCGAAACAATAGACCTTGCATCCAAAATCCCAGCATGAAGCTTCAAGACACCCTGAGCCTCGCAAAGCCGTACATAGAAACCTTTCTGTCATCACTAAAACCTTTACCAACATTGCAGCAAACCCTACACGCGAAGCTGCAAAAGCGATGATCCCTGAACACTAGAGCCTACCTAAAATCTAAACCTCTTGCCTGAACCTCTTAACGCTTTATCGCAACGCCCTAAACTCTAGGACCTTAGCCGGAGCCGATAAGCTTGATGATCGACTCTATACATACTATTACTCTTATAACTATCAGTATTATGGTTATTATTGCTATGACCATTACTATCACTAGTACTAGGACTATTGCGAGTATTTATACTGTAATCATTATCATTGTCTTTAAATCACTGTTGTTATTTTTGTGATTATTGATACTATCATTATGTATTGCTTTATCGCTGTTATTATTTTTTGTTAAACTACCCATCCGAAGCCTCAAAGACAGACTTTGGAGGTTTCGGCTCGATGTATCCCTTTGCAGAGTTGGGCTTCTTCGAGCCTTCCATGACTTCGTAGGGTTTTTGTTGGAGTTTTGGGACTTCTTAGGGTTGTTTTGAGTGTGGGACTTCTGAGGGTTTTTTTTGAGTTTGGGACTTCTTAGAGTTTTTTGAGTTTGGGGACTTGTGGCTCACGATTATAGTATAAGTACGAGGAGGGTTTAAGGTTGGAGTTTAGGGCTTAGGGTTTAGCGTTCGGGCTGCTTAAGTCTTGTTTTACAAGTTGGGTGTTCGGGTGAGCAATATTTAATTTGTCTTTCTTGGTTTGAGTTGTTAGGGTTTTGGGCTTTCATGGGTTCCTTTAACGGCTGTGTAAGGCTTCGGGTCTTTTGTGTTGGGATTTAGGGTAGAGGCTTGGAGAAGGGATTCATGCACAAGTACGGAAGGGTGCGGAATATAGCACGGTCGAATGTAGACACATTATATAGGTTCATAATATATATGTGTATGTATATGCATACACAAGTGCAAGTACGATTAAAACAGTTATATGTATATCTATATATGCAAAATTGAGATACACGGCACATTCTGTACATATGATGCACGAAAGCTATCGGAAAACTTTGTAAAGCTTTGATTTGAATCCGTTTTGTCGGAAGCCGCGACATCGCCGAACACAAATCCGCATCCTTGCACAGATGGCCCAAGCTGGCCAGAAAGATTGAAGCGCCCCGGCAGAATCACCCTAAACCCTAAACCCCTAAATCCCTAAATCCCTAAACCTTTTCCACAGAATCACCCCCATCAGTATCTGCAGTCGAAACCGTGCAGGGTTTAAGCCTACTTCCTAACCTCAAGCCCCTAGACCATGCAAGGAAGGCTGCTTCACTGACGGCCTGCCCTGGCCACACCACTTGGGTATCGCCAATGTGTCACTTGCCTGTAGATGTGACTTTAGGGTTCCAGGGCATTCGTTGTTTAGACAGCCTTATGGTAGAAGCCAGAAAGTTGGGACATGGCTTTAGGATGATTAGTGCTAGGATCCCTTATACTCTACCTTAAGGGTATGAGGACAACGATGTTCCAACTTTCTGGCTTCTACTATATCAAGCATAGGCCTTCGTTAAAAAAAGGCTGTCGAGTTTGGAGGTTTTGGGCTTCCTGCTGCCCTAGACGCACGACTCAGATCCCCAAACGCCCCACCTCCTCCAACTGAAGCTCCGAAAGCCCTGAGCCGAGACTCCCCCGCGACACACGCAAAGCTAAGATAAGCCCGGCCCTAGCAGGACCCCCGAAGGGCCCTTGAGTAGAGTCCGGGTATTTGGTGTATATTAGGGGGTACTTGGACTCTAAACGCACCCTAAGATCCCAAAATCAATACCTGGCCCCTAAAACCCTAAACCCTAAACCCCAAACTCGCCCCTAAGATCCTAAAGTCCACACCTGCCCCAGCCTCCACACGCGCGCTTCATCGAGGCACAACTTCGCCCACGGATCGGCAACCACCTGCCAGGCCTTTATTTGGGTACATGGACCCTTAAACCCTAAACCCTGATGGTATCCTTATAGAGACCATTAAAGGAACTGTTAGAGGAACCCTATTTGGGTACACAGACCCGTAGGGGTAGAAAGGTACTTTTCTTTGCAGTGATCTAGGGTTGTGTTTTAACTTTCTTGTTGAAACGGGGTTTGCATGTGCGTGTATATACATGTACATCGCTTTCTCGCTTTCTGGGCAATGAGTTCGGGTCGAACGCAGCCGTTGGGATGCACCTAATTACATTCAAAAGCCTGGGGCAGAAATCTGGCTGAGGCATGTAAACCGTGCCAGTATGCACTCAAGCATGTCAGAGCGGGTAGAGTGAGATGTAGCCGACCAGCCCTTTGGACCGAAAAGTCGTCTCACCTATGACCCGCCAAACCCGAACAAAACGGGAAAATTAAACTCCCAAAAGTCAAAACCCTAACAAGCAAACCAGCAGCTGTACAAAAACTCTGAGTTGTTCCTCCTGGGGCCAGGGAGGCAATCATCAGAGCAACACTACCCCTTACAAAGTGCAGGATCGGCCTCAAGGAAACAGTCCCTGCACGAATCTACCGGTAACTCAAACAAAGCTCTGCGCCTATTCCTCCGGGGGCGGGGGGAGGCAAACAGCAAAGCTACACCCCACACGATTATCAAATGAACCGTGCCCGCTCAAGACATACATGCATGCACAGTGACAGCGTATATACAAGCACGCATGCCGAGCACATATAACGCATCAAGCAAGTAAGATCTTAGCAAAAGCTGCTAGGTTGCAGGCATCCACCGGATCATCGAGCTACAGCTGCTGCAAGAGCAAGGACCCTTCCTGGTACACGAAGGCACCGATGGAGCCGATGGCTACGACACTGCCGCACTCTTCGTCTAACCTTGCCGAACGTGCCACTGGCCTCAACGTCCAAGGTGATCGTCTTACCCGTTAAAGTTTTGACAAGGATCTGCATGCCGCCTCGCAAACGCGGCGCCAAGTGAAGGGTCGATTCATTCTGGATGTAGTAACCGGGGAGAGTACGGCCATCCTCTAACTCCGACTGCTTGCCAGCAAGGATATCCTGGAACGTAGCCTTGACAGTGTCGAACGTGCCACTGGCCTCAACGTCCAAAGTGACCGTCGTATCCGTCAAGGTCTCGACAAAAATCTGCATGTCGCCTCGTAGACGTAGCGTTAAGCGGAGGGTCGATTCATTCCGGATGTTGTAACCCGGGAGAGTACGGCCATCCTCTAACTCCGAATGCTTGCCAGCAAGGATCAGGCACTGCTGGTCGGGCGGGACACCTTCCTTCTCCTGGAACGTAGCCTTGACGTTGTCGAACGTGCTACTGGCCTCAACGTCCAACGTATTCGTCTTGCCTGTCAGGGTCTTGACAAAGAACTGCATGCCGCCTCACCAGCGCGGCACCAAGGCGTGCCCTCCATGGGCACTGGGGCTAACGATATTCCGCGCTGTTGCGGCCATTCGAGCCCTATACATGTACATACATATATATATACATACATATATACATATATACATATATACATATATACATATATACATATATACATATATACATATATACATCTATACATCTATACATATATACATATATACATATATACATATATATACATATATATATATAGAGAGAGAGAGAGAGTTAAAAGCCATTAAAAGCATACGTACCTCTATATGTATGTGTATATATATATATACATGTACATACGTGCCTACATATATATGTACACATACACACACAGATAGATACAAAGTAGAGATATACATATACATATACATATACGTATGTCCGGGTTTTCCCTGTTAGGAACTCTTCAAAGATCCATGTGCAACCACACGTCACATAGTTTATGTATATATATATATATATATATCTGGGCTATATGGGTTTTATGTGGTTTGCTTGATACTTTGATACTACTGCCATATGCCTGATATGCCTGGCTTGTTTTTCTCTGCTTCGGGTTGTTGCCCGCCCCCCTGGCCCACGTGTCGTCTTCACCACGTCACCTCTCTGGTGCGTGGTACTTCTGTTTGTCTTTGGAGCCTTGTCTCTGTTGGAGAGCGTCTGGGTAATCATATGCAATGAGCACTTATTGGGTCGTGTGACTTCACACCCTCACGTTTAGGGGTTTTAGTTGTCTAGTACTTCTTGCCGCTTACGTTTCGGAATTTTCACTGTGTGGGCGTGCGTGCTCAGACGTTGACATGATCCTTTTTCTGGTTGTTCTGATTCTGGATCATCCAGGTAAACTCAGTTCAAGCACCCCCACCTCTTCTCCTACCCCCAGGGTCCCGAAACCAAGGCGCCGCCGCCGGGTTGCGATGCCCCCAGCGGCTTTCACCCTCTGGCTTCCACGACGGGGATGACCAGGTCCTTGAACAAAAGACTAACATAGGGGCCTTCATAATTAGATTGGGGTTTCGGGGAACATGTATGCTACAATGAGGAACCCAAGAATGCTATTGGAATTTTTTTGAGACGCCTAGATTACATCCGCAGCTCCTTAACGCAACCCCCTTGCTCAAACTGAGGTGGCCAGAGACAACCGTCCTGCCTCGTGGCGTTGCCCAGCAGCTGCAAGAGGCCTCTTCGGAGCTTTAGTTCAGGGTTTAGGGGTTTACTTAGGGGCACTTAGAAATATGTTTTTTAATTTTTTGCTATTATAATCCCTAAGAAACACCTAAAATTACAATTGTTGCTAGGGTTCTAAGTTCAGTATAGTTTAGGGTTTCTAGGGTTTGGGTTTAGTGTTTAGGTTTTAGGGCTTTGTTGCTTACCTTTTGGTTTTGTACATACCTACCTACATACATCATACAGATGCACATACATCACAATAAACACATGCATTCATACACACGATGCGTGCATGTCTACAGGCTGTAAAAAGTTGGGATAAGTGTCGGGTGTCCAACGACGGATTGAGAACGGTAGTGGCGCGGCTGTAGGGAGGATCCGCCCATGAGCCATAGTATACTCTGCGCTGACCCTAATGAAAAAACCTCGAGATCTGTCAGAACCTCCGTTCCTGAATCCCTGAAAACATGCCCTGGTGCAAACCGAAGTCACCTATAGAACCCTTATACGACATTGAACCCACATCAAGTTGCATGCTATACCTTCTAAACCCTATGCCCTAAACTCTGAGCCCTCTAAACCCTGTATACCTGCGTTGTGCACGTGAGGCCGAGGAGCTGCTACCTCAGGAGCGTTTGAAGGGTTAGGTACGTTGACTTCTGTAAGCGCACACTACAAATGCTACTGGAGGGGTTTAGGATTTTGAGCTTTAGGTTCTGGGTTTCAGAGTTCAGGATTTCAGAGTTTAGGGTTTTTAGGGCCCTTGTTATGTTGCTGTTCATACGTGATCTTTGGAAGGTACTTGTCTTGTCTGGAGATCCACAAGCTAGGATTGTTCCTGGAATACTGGTACTGTAGGGGTTCTTTTTGCAGTGAAGGGTTCTCATCGCTGCCTAATGAAGCCCTAAACCCTAAAAGCCTCGTTCAACCCTAAAGCCTAAAGCCCTAAACCCTAAATCCCTTTCAAAGATTCGGTTTCAAGCGCGCAGCGAGCTTGGCAGGAGCTGTGGAAGGATCCTTCGGCCCTCTTCGTTGTTGCGGCGGGCAGCAACGACTACATCTACCAGAAGACGGAGCGCGGGTTAAGGGTAAGGAAGGAGAGACCCAAAGCCCTATACTACTCCCCCCCGTAATGGGTACTTCGTACCCTATGGCAGTGGAGGGCAAGGGGGTGAGGCTTAGGGTCATGACTCGGGTCCTGAGGGCTTAGGGCTTTCCTTTCCCAATCATTTACGGAGCAAGCGGTTTAGGGTTTGGGGCTTTCCTTTCCTAGCTGATAGGAATCAAGCCTGGCAACCAAACACCGGGAACTACAACTACTACGACTGCAATCCGGTCATAAACTTGGAGTTTCAGGCTACAGTAGTTGCATCCCGATCAGAACTGCATGGTGGCTTCGAGCTTTGGGGATGATCTACTAGACCTTCTTCGTAAGCAGTCATTTCCAAGGATGTTCGATCGAAGGTGCCAAAAGACCATATACGCATCAGGACGCCATACAGTTTGAGGTATCAGGTCCCTTAACTTGCTTGGAGTCGATGTGGGGGGGTTCCAGTACGGGAGGTCCTTGCGCTGATGGGGTCTTGTGGACTCCAGTTTTTGAGTTTAGGGTTTAGGGTATAGGGTTTAGGGTTCAGAGTTTAGAGATTAGGGTTTAGGGGTTTAGGATTTAGGGTAGAGCTGGTCGGGTTCGATTTCTATCGGTCGGTCGGTAGACCCGTTCATCAGGAGGCGATTGGGCGATCGAAGGAGGCGGCGAAGCACTGCCGGGTGGCATCAATAATCTGGGTCTGTTAAGGAACTTAATTTAAGTTACCATAATAGGGATCTATCGTAAATAATAGGGTTTCCTTATCATGGTAACTTAAATTAAGTTCCTTAACAAGAACCCAATAATTAGTCATCTGGGCCCCAGACCCGAAGTCTCAAATCCTGCACCCTCAACCCCAAAGCCGATTTCGGGATGTATGGGTTCCATCTCCGAAGAGTTTGAAGCAATCGCCCTGAGTCTAAGACGCTAAAAATCCTTAACTCTCAGCCCAATGCCGGCACCATGTTTCCAAGACACTTAAAGCAAACTTTGCAACCCACCAGTACTACTCACACAAGCCCTGAGTTCATGCGTTAAATCATGAGTGGGGATGTGCAGCATGTTAGGAGGTGTGTCCCTTAATTAGAAACCTTTTCGTTACCCTATTCAAAAACACAGCCGCAAACAAATGCATGCACGTGTAAACAAATACACAACTAAGAGATTTTTGGGAGTCTCCGGATACTCGTGGCAGGGACACAAGCCTCATCCCTTTCATAGGAGCTTTCCGTGCATAGCCAGGTCCTCCTCGCCGGGAGACACAAAGCAGCGAGTAGGGTTTTGGGCTTTGCGTTAAGGGTTTAGGAGTTGAGGTTTCGCATGTAGGGTTTGGGGTGCCTTTGGGTTTCAAGTGTCGGGTTCAGGCTCTTACAGGGCTGAATGCCACCGTTCCAGGATGAAGGCTTGAGTACTCAAGCACCAAAAGCCTATGCCAGAGAACCTAAACCCTAAGTGCGCATCTGGAGCAAAACCGCAACTTACAGCCCAATTTCCGATACCATCCACCCCATAAACCTGAAAATCCCTAGACCCAACCATCTAAACCCCAAACCCATGTAAACCTCGAAGCCCTGAACCCTAAAACCCTAAACCCTAAACCGCAACCCCAAACCCCAAACCGCAAGCTCCAGAACCTGGCCCTCTGAGGCCCCACCGTTCAGAATTACCGGCAGATCCTTCGAGAGCTCAACAGGCTAGGGTTCAGGGCTGAGGGTTTAGGGATTTAGGATTTGTTCTTTTTAGGGCGCACGTGGTTGATTATCGGCGTGATGCTGAACATTAGTTGTGCGTCTTATCGGCCTTTATAGCTCATAACAGGAAGCCTTGGAGATTCCACAATCAGGTTCTGTACGGGATTTCGCTGCTGTTGATTGATACTGCCTTCTCAGGGGCCTATACCACCTCTAGTCATGATATTCCTTGAGGCTTTGCTTTTCGACACAAAGCAAGTTCTGTTGAAAAGCGAGAGTCTAGTTACGTAGGCCTCTGCATGGGTCTGTTTGGTCCATGATCACTATGCTGTAAATACCCAGGCGATTTGTCTTGACAAGGTTTCAGTGCCATGAGCTGTTTCTGATAACAAAGGTTCAATAATGTTCACGTTCGTTTAAGATTGATGTTTCTTGCTCGCCTGAGTCTAAGTCTAAGTATTACCACTACTACGGTTGATGATACAAATCCTGCATGACCCATAACAAGGAATA